AAAGTTGGGGGTCAAAGTGCCTCACAATCAGACTGGCATAACTAGTTGTAGGAGACCCCATCCAAAAATAAGTATTTCTCTATACTGCCTAAAATGCTTTACTTGTTAAAAAGGTTTAACAAGCATTCTCTTTAAACACACACACACACACACACACACACACACACACAAACTTTTCATAGTACCAACAGAACTACAAGTCACTCCCACATAAGTGTGGTTTAAATTCTTCTTCCCAACATCTATACTAAAGGAATGGGACTTTGATTAACTGGGAAAAACCCTATTCATCAGTTCTAAGGCACATATATTTTTCATATTTTAGCATCTCAAATTAGGGTGCATCTTACAACCGATGGCTTCTTGAAATTAACTAGAAGCAGATTTTCTTTATGAGTGGCCCATAAAAGTATGGTGCATCTTACAACTGATATAATTCAATACAACTCAGCATTTAATCTTACAAGTGTTAAAAAGTTAGACTGACCTGGTCAGAATAGACCTTGAGATATTAAAAGGCATTCTAAAAACATAAACACTAATAAAAAGTGGAAGAGGGAAGGACTTTCTAGTTCAAAATGTAGCCTGAGGGGAAACCCATTTTCCTTTCTCTCTGAGGCTCTCTGCTCCCCAAATCTGAAAATCAGATCAGTACTACTATAACTGATGTCCAGCCACTGCTAGGCTAGACAGGAGCCTTTCTCCATTTATTCATTTTAAAATGCAACAAAGTCACTTACAGACCCAGTCAGCAGGTTAGTAATAGAACATTTGTACACAAATCTCTATAAAAGACCAAATAACTCACAGAACTGCATAATTAACATTTGCATATCACTATATATAAATGATACTTCAATGAAGTTGATTTTTTTTAAGATTTTATTTTTAAGTAATCACTACAACCAACGTGGGGCTCGAACTCACCACCTGGAGATCAAGAGTCACGCTCCACTGACTGAGCCAGCCAGGCACCCCAATAAAGTTGATTTTTTCAAAAGACAAATAAGTTAAGTGCAGTGAGAAAATATTAGATAAAAAACTGGCCTTAAAAAAAAAAAAAACCTTCCTTAAGAAGGAATTCCTTCAGAAGGGATTTCATCCAGAAGAAAATGGGAAAGACTTCAGAAAGGGGGAAAAGCACATGTGCAGAAAACAGTAATAGTGGGAGATACGAATAAAGGAAATCTGAGGTAAATCCCACGGAAAGGACTTCATTTAATAGAAGACACTGGAAACTTCTAAGTAGAGAAGTGACAAAATGGGCTTCAAGATTAACCTAAGCATGGGGCGCCTGGGTGGCTCAGTCGTTAAGCGTCTGCCTTCGGCTCAGGTCATGATCCCAAGGTCCTGGGATCGCACCCCGCTGTGGGCTCCCTGCTCCACGGGAAGCCTGCTTCTCCCTCTCCCAATCCCCCTGCTTGTGTTCCTGCTCTTGCTATCTCTCTCTCTGTCAAATAAATAAGTAAAAATCTTTAAAAAAAAAAAAAAAAGGATTAACTTAAGCAGAACCACATAACACAGATAAAGGTGAAAGTGAAGGCAAGAAGATTGCAACATTAGCCCAGGTGCGATGAGAACCTGATTCAATTAGCAAAAAAAAAAAAAAAAAAGAAAAAATATTAAATATAAAAATATATACACAATATATACTGTTGCATACAAATATATATAGAACCAAAAAAATTTAAAGAAAAAGAATTATGTGAAAACAAGTTAACAGATTTGAAAACTCAATAAATAAATCTCTGGAGAAAATATTAAACACTAAAACTCACACAAGAAATAGAAAACCTATGCAGACCAACAGTTATTATATAAACTGAAATGGTATTCAAAGTCCTCTACAGAGGACTACAGAGAACAAACAAATAAAGCCTGATTGGTGTTGTAGGTGAGGTCTGCCAAACTCTCAAGATAATTCCAGTCTAAAATGTTCCTAAGGGGGTGCCCGACTCTTAGTTTCAGCTCAGGTCTTGATCTCAGGGTCGTGGGATCAAGCCCTGTGTCAGCTCAGCGTGGAGTCGGCTTGAGATTCTCTCCCTCTCCCTGACCCTCCCCCCATGCTTGAGTGCCTTCCCTCTCAAATAAATAAATCTCTTTAAAAAATAAATAAAAATAAAATGCTCTTGAAAGAAAAAGGAAAGCTGCCCAATTCATTTTATGAGTCTATAACCTTCATACCAACATGTATCAAGACTTGTAGCCACATCACAGCCACAGGAATAAAGAGAAACAATACAATGACAGTAGAAGCAATAGATGTTGACTATAGATAAGATGTGACGGGATGGAGAAAGGTCTGGGTTTGGTATGACATCAGCAGAAATAAGGAACACCAGGGAAACGAGTCTGGTAAGGAAGAGTTCAGTCTGAACCAGAACTACCAGGTAGAGGTACGTATAAAGCAAGTGGGAAAAACAGGGATTCGCGTGCGAGAATGAGATCTGAGAATTATTCAGACAGAAGGGTCTGAACAATAAAAATGCTAAGGGACTAGTGACATACAGAGAAGTGATCTGAAAAGTGAAACCTGGAGAACACATACTAAGCGGGAAGATCGGAAAGGGGCAAAGAGGAACGAAGTCAGTATGTCACAGAAGCCCTTTGTCCTACTCTTCATCCTTCAGAATGGTTCCAAAGTGATGTTTTTAAGGCCTTCCCCGACTGTCCTATCACCACCACCAGGTCAGGTCCCCATTTTAAGTTCCTCTCATACTATGCGCTTCAATTATAATCAGTTACAGTTAGCCACAGAATCCCTTCTCCAGTCCACCTCTCCTCCACTAGACGTAAAGCTCCAGGAGGGCAAGGACAACGCCTGCTGCTGCCTCCGCTGCTCTGCAGGGTATGTTTGAATGCCACTAAGTATTCGGTGAATAAAATGGATACATGAAAAAAAGGCCAAGGAAAGGCATTTCAAGAATGCGAAGGTGATGTTAAATATCACAGAAAGCTCAAGGAGGTGATTTAGAAAAAGGGCTTAAATGTGTTATTTAGGCTACAGGTAACCCTTGTGAAGGTGAACAGCAGATAACAAGGGGTTAAGAAGTGAATGGATGGTCAGGAAGTAAATGCGGGAAAAGTAAACTACTCTTGGCAATCTTCAGAGATGAGACTATGGACGACTGAATTTTAATTTTACTTCAATTTTGCTCTACTTTACAATTTTTCTTTAATGAACATGTATTATTTTACAAGAAGACAACTTTTTTTAATGTTAATATGACTTGAAAAGGAAAAGCAGCAACATAACAGCTTGAGGGAGCAGTATGCTCAAGGGAAGGTTTTTGTAAATTGAAAAAATCTTATGCACATTTATACTTTCAAGAACCCTAAAAGAGAGTAACTCCTACTCCATTAAGTAGGAGAGAGAGGAAAAAAAAAAAAAGAAAGAAACAAGGTGTTAACTAGTAGGAAGGACAAAAAACATTCCACTAAGATGGAAGGAAAGCAGATGATAGAAGTAACCTAGTACATTCTGGAAGGAGCTCCCACTGAATGCCTCAAGCTTTTCAGTAAAGGGCATGGAGAAGTGAGAAAAAGTTTTAAATGAGTTCCACGAATACTGTGCGGGGGGACGGGGAGAACACCCGAAAACACGAGTGGGAATATTGGTTCTATGAAGGAGTATTCTAAATTTCAATCACCCTTTTGTAAACTCAACCCCTTTCTAGCTCAGAACTGCCCGTATTTTTGCTTTAAGTTCAAATATTTAAATAATTCTGGTTCACACTCTTTTTATTTCAACTGAAAACAGTGATAAGCATTAAGTTACATTCTACTGCAATTTAGAGTTGAACTCCCCTTAAGTAAATACGATAAAGGTGTTGTTTTCAACCCAAGCAACAAAACAACGATCATTTCAAGTATGAGTAACTGCAAAGTGCCCCTAAACGTAAAACTGTTTGCGGAAAGAGGCTTTGTTGTTGTTTTCAAACTCATCTAAGTCTCACTCTGACAGTTCCTGAACAGCAGAGAAAACCCTGGGTTCAAATCCCAGCTCATTCATACAAGCTACTTAACCTCTTTGCGTTTCGGTTTCCTCGTCTAAAAAATGAACACAATAACCAGGGCTATCACAAGGATTAAATGACGTCACACAGGTGAATGTGCCAAGTTCGCACTGTGTACTCAAGAGAGTTTGGTAACCATTTTAAAGAGAAAAACTGCAGCACCCTGACCAAATTAAAACATTCGAGAGCATTTAAGAGTATACAAGTCACAAAACGCCAGACCCTTAACACATAGCACATTATTTTTCTTTCCTGACGCAAGCTATTTTTTTTTCCCTGCCAATCTTTCCACTAGGAGTCTGGAAAGAGGGAATAAAAAAAAGGTTACAGTCGATCCGGCAGAAAGTTTTCAGAAACTGAAGTGCAGAATCACAACAGACATGGCAGCGGAGGCCGCGCAGGACAACAGGTGAACCTCCGAGAAACCTGGCACCTTCCCGCGGGCAAGTTTTGAGGGAGGGCTCGCAGCTCCCCCTGGCTCTACCATCCCACGAAACAGACTTTTTTTTTTTCCCCTCCTTCGCAGCAGCGGAGAGAGACAAATCGCGAATATCAGCCTCGCAGCTCCTGGGCAAGAGAGGTGAGCTCCTTTCCCATTTAAGGATTCAAGGAGCGTCCTTGGAGGCGGCTTTCGCCCACACTGCCTCCCCCAACTCGGCCTGAAACCCGGGGGTGGGGAACAAAAGAGGGGTCGGGCGGTGGAGCCGCCGCGGGGGGTTGCAAGGAGCAGACGTCGGCGTCCGGGGTCTCCGGCGGGGCCCGGCCCGAGGTGGGGGCGCCGGGCGGTGGGGCCCAGCGGGCCGCGGCCTGACACAGCAGAGACGGCGGGGACCCCGCGAGGCGGCCGGGCCGACCCCCTCTCGGGCCTCCCGCGCGCGCCCGGCTGCCCCCGAAACTTCACCCCGCGCCCGCGCCGGCCTCCCCGCCGCCGCCGCCGCTGGCCTCTCCCGGCGCGCACACGCACTCACGGACGAGCCAACTCACCCGGACCCCGGGGAACTCATCGTCCAGCCCTCGGCGCGGAGCGGGGTGGGCGCGGCGAGCCGCCGGGGCGCGGCGGGGGCCCGGCTCGGCCTCCGCCCTCGGCGTGCAGCGGCCCCGGCCCGGTCGCCCCTCGCGCGGCCGTGCGATCCTCGTCTCGCGCGGACGGACGCGCCGGAGTCCGAGCCTTCCTGCCCGCTCTCCCCGCCCTCCTCCCTCCTCCCTCCTCCCTCCTCCTTCGTTGAGCGCCAGCAGGCGGATTCCAATCTCGGCAGCCGCCGCCGCCGCCGCCGCCGCCACTCGCACGGGGTGGAGGGGGGGAGCGGCGCGGGCGCGGGGACTTGAGGGGGAGGGGCGGGCCTCCGTCGGATTCGGCGCCGCGCGCGCGCACTGGGAAGGCGCCCGCCCCGCCCCGGACACGAAAGGAGCCGAGCGCACGGCGGAAGCGCCCGAAGGGTCCGCGAGGCCCGGCGCCCCCTTGCCGGCTGCGGGCCCTCGTCCCCGGCAGCGGGGCGCCGGCTGCCGTTGGGGGGGTTTCTCCTCCGCGCTGCCCCACCGGCCCCTCCCCACCAAGCAGCCCTACCGCCGCCGCCGTGGCGGGGCCGGCTCGTCTCCGGCAGCCGCGTCCCACAGACGCCGCGCGCGGGACGCACACGACGGAGCGCGGTGAAGGGGCGCGGACACCGCGGGCGCGGGCTGGGCCCTCCTCCCGGATCCCTTCGCGTGGATCCTCTCTCCGACACGCTGTAATGCTCCCCGTGAGCGCCAGCACTCACACACCACGGCGAAGACTTGCCAGGTCGTGGTAGTGGTCGTGGCGACAAAGAAAGGAAAGTGTAGCCACACTACATCCATTATCCACCCACCGCGCCCCGGCTTCTGGGTCTGGGCTCCGTGCCAGTGTGCCGAGGCCTAGGTAGGCCGGCGCAGGTGGGCCGGCTCCGCGGGAGCGGCGGGGGGACGAGGCATCGCCGCGTCGGCCCCGCAGCTCCGAGGCCCGGCCGCCCGGAGCCCTGTGACCTGCGAGCCCGTGAACTCCTCAGGCAGAAGAGGAGCGGCGGCGTTAACCCGGGGCAGCTGAAGTCAGCGGACTATAAATACTGTCCCGCCTCAACCTTGGCTCACTCTTGGGAACTCGCGTGCCCTCCGGAGTCTCATTCCCGCTCTTTGGAAAATGCAAATAATTGTCACTACTTCTTTTCTAACATTGCCCCCTCATTCTCTGAGGAAAATACTGTTAAACGTTTTCAGTGTCCTGTATGCGAAGAAAGAATATAGGTCCCCTTTTGACAACCAAATGTGACCTTAATCTCTTTGGTAAGTGTTGCAACAGTATGTATCGTGTTAAGTCTCTACGAAAGATAACTCTTTTTAAGGTCCTTTTATAAAATCACTTTTCCAGCTAAGTAAAAAGAAAGAGGGAAGAAAAAGAATGTGCCAGGCGCTGGTATTTGTTTTTATACGCATTCTCCCCGAAGAGATGTTTAGATTCCAGAGTATTCCCTTTTAATCTTGTTTAAATGTCTAAATTCTTTTACATTCTTGTTTAAAGATTTTTTTTTCTTTTCTTCTCCTTTTACAAACCACGTTTGCCCTCGGTGCCTCAGATACCTTCTGTAATTCCAAGTTTTTTTCCAATTCTCTAATTTTTTTTAATGAACTCTTGAGCTGTCTCAGGTTTGAGAGTCAGGGGTTGTAGTATGTTGCTGTGCGGGGAGAATGTATGATAAGAGGAGTTTTCTTGCATCAACCACGAATTTCCTTGCATCGACTAAAACTCGTCACTTTTTCAAGTTTTCTACAGTCCTGCTTTATTTTAGGGGAAAGGGTGGGTCTTTTGCTTAAGGAGATTCAGACTCAGGGCGCCTGGGTGGCTCAGTCGTTAAGCGTCTGCCTTCCGCTCAGGTCATGATCACAGGAGTCCTGGGATCGAGTCCCACATCGGGCTCGCTGCTCTGCGGGGAGCCTGCTTCTCCCTCTCCCACTCCCCCTGCTTGTGTTCCCTCTCTCGCTCTCTCTCTCTGTCAAATAAATAAAATCTTAAAAAAAAAAAAAGGATTCAGACTGATTGGCCAGAGAACTCACTGATGTATGCTGAGCAATGTGTCATGGCAGATAAAATCATGACAAGTGTGTTAATATACCCTCTGAAGTTTACTTCGATTTTTAGGCATATGAATCAGTCCATAAAATAGTCAAGAGTCTCAGGTTAAGACTTTAGTACATCGAATTTCTGAAACTTGCAAATCGGTGTTGCCTGGGTTTTGTTAATATGCCACTGTAATAATAACAAAATAGAGGCATCATATTTTAAGTTATGATATCTTTGCATCTCTTTGAAAGGATCTTCTTTTCAAGTCTTTGGGACTTGACTTGACATCCTTTTGTTCCCTTTAGATAAGCCCACCTAGTGACCAAACCTTCCCATTTTCACAGCAGGCACCCTACCTACCTACAACTGAGTAGGTCATGGTGTTCTCTCTGGTTCCTGGCATGTGTATGCATGCCAGCCTGTTTCTCCAGTTTGCCCACTAAATGAACAGAGCAGCCAGGAAGCCCAAGGAGACACCTGGACACGTATTGTCTGGCCCCCAAACTCAGGCAACACCTCAAGGTCCAAATTTAACATTCTTTAATGTGATGGCTTTCCTTTAAGAAGTTTAATAGAATGGCTGGACGTGGTGGCCTTTTTTCTCTGCACAGTTTGAGGTGTAGGCCCCAAGGGTGGTAGTTGCGTGCTCAAACCCCATAGCCTTAGTTTGGAATGTAAAATTACCCTTCTACAGTTCTCAGATCAGACACCTTCCCTGATCACCTGTCTTAAATTAGCACCCACGGCCAATTTTGTTTTCTTTATATCACTTTTTACTAATTGAAATTACCTTGTTTGTTTAGTTATTGGTTTATGGTCTGAGTTTCTCTGCTACCTGCCCGCCCCCCCCCCCCCCCCCCCCCCAGAATGTAAACTCCATGAGAGCAAAGACCTTGTCCCTCTTGTTCTCAGCTGTTTCCTCAGAGCCTAGCTCCTGGCACAGAACAAGTACTCCTATCTGTTAAACACATGAGATAAGGATAGAATTTCCTCTAAGCCTTTCTGAACCTTGTCATCAAGACTTAGCTTTTGAGGGTGGCATGGACTATGTTGAAAAGAATAAGGGTGGGTCAGGGCAACTGGGATATACCATTTTCAGGGAAGGCAATAGTTCTTGATTGATCCAAGTTAATCTATCCGAAGTCATTTTCCTGTTGTAAAGATTTTGTGAGGCAAAGGCAGCACTAAGGCTCCGGATATGGAGGAAGTTAGAGCCCAGTAAGGAGGGACTAATGCAGGAATGCCCTTGCAGGGTGATACTTCCGGTTAGTTTAAAACCCAGCGTCAAATGGACAAAAGCATTGTAAAGCGTAAAGGAAACAGCTACACTTCTCAGCATGGACGCTAATATATTATTCTACTGGTTAATAATAACCTGTTATGGTTTAGGGGGAACAAGCCAAAACAGAAATTGTGTTTAAGAAAAAGGTAGGTTATCTAAAATCAATGCACAAAATAAAGTTCAAAAATCTAAATTTGTCCTTTTCTTTGTAATGGATTTCTTATCTTTTTACCTTTCCTTCTATTTTTACTTCTCAATTACTTGCTCCTTTTCCCATTTCCATGTCTCTTTGCTTCAAAGCACTTGTTTACTGTGATTCAAAGATAGTTTACTGAAGCTCTCAGCGGCGAAGTAGCCCCCATGTGCTCCTCCCTAGCCCATGGTTACTACAGTCCTCTCCTTGCTATCAGTACACCCCTTACAACAAAACCTAATCCTTTCCTGGCCTTGTGGCAGGAAGAGTCTCAGCTCCAGTCCCAAGCCGGAACCCAGCCTTCTGCTGCCTTTGCTACTTAACATGGGGAGCCCCAACCTTGGCCCCTTTCTTTGAACTGACTCACAGCCCTTTTCTTGTGCTTGAAGCCCTGGCCTGTTAACCTGTGTGGAACCTGATTTTTCTCTGCCTGTTCTCTGGACTCTGCTCTCTGGAGTCAGCCCTAGCCCTGCAATACATGCTGCTGTGCACTGTTACCCTTGGTGGCAACGCTTACTGACCTCTGGCTCTTTGTTCCTAGATTCTCTGCCCATATTCTATCCAACTGTCAGGCCTCCTTTCCCCATTACCTCAAGTTGGACATCCTGATACCTGCTGCTCTCCTGGACTACCACCTGTTGTTTACTCACAGCTCTCTGGCTATCAGGTACTGCCTAGAGGGCTGGAGTTCCTCCCACCGAACACCTGGATCTGGGGCCTCCCCATCCCAGCCCCCAGCAAATCTTTTCCTTCTCCATCCTTAGCAGTCCCCCAACCTGCCTTTCCCTTTCCTGAGAGCAGTGGGTTTATGACTTAGTATACTTTATTCGTTAACCAGAAAAAAAACAAAAAACAACTAAATATTTTTATGTATATATGTGTGTGTGTATTTGCTTTTATCAGGTTAATGAATAATCAAAGTATTAACAGATGTGTGTGTATCTGTGTACATGTAAAAACCCATATCTGATTCTACTTACTACTCCTCAACATTGATTCTACGCAAGGATTCCTTTGAGACTAGTAGCCCAGAAATCCCCGCATCTGGAGCTGAGTATGATAACCTTGTGAATGACTAGTAAAGGAAGACAAGGTGTCATGATAAACTTCAGACTGAGATAACTGGGGAAGTACAATCCTGGATCAGGAATGCTGAGTCATACTGTACCTACTGTATGTGGTCTACACGGTAATCCAGATGTGTTCCCAGGTGTGGTGTGGTGCCACCAATGTGACCAGGCATACTAGTTTATCCACCACACATGTTGGTGCCTGTACTTGTGCTGGACACACAGTTCTAGAGGATAGAAGGTATCTTATTTTCACTCCACTGTATCCCTAGGATCTAGCATACCACCTGGCACACCAGTAGGTGATCAGTAAATACCTATTGAATGAATGAATGAATGAATAACAAACGAACGAACAAACTAGGCATTTTATTGGACTCCTGTCCTCTAAAAGCTTAAAATTTAGTAAAAAATAAGACATGCAGATAATTCCTTCATTTGATATTTGCTTCTGAGTCAGGGTTAATTGCCCTTAAGATAGTTGATATTTCAGGTGCCTGAGTGGCTCAGTTGGTTGAGCGACTGCCT